GCGTTCATTGGCCTGCGAAATACACAACATTAATTTCCATACTACGTTGACCATTAATATGTTGTGCGAGTAAGTGTGCTATTGAATTAATTAAAAAAGCGAATAGCAATACAACATAAACACATAAAAAAAGTTTAAAATAACCACATAAGTCTTCATATAACATCAATTAAATATATATATATATTTATATTTGAAATGTTCATATAAAGTGTGTATATGTTTTTGTGAGAGATTTGATATCTGAAAAAGAAGGTGATCTTGAGTACTTATCTTAAGTTGATAGTGACGAGCCTGAATAAGTACGTCTTTCTGGTTTGACTGCCAGGAACCAAAAAGGATGTTTGACTTTCGCGCCTAACGATCCCTCGAGCTGTTCACGTGACTATCTATATATTCGACTCACTGGTGAACTAAATTGTTCTGTCTCTTTCCAAGACAAACAATTCACTGGAACATGTTATGTGACAGATACAGATCTAAATCTGATCGGTTTAGACTGGATTGAAGAACTCGATCTCTTCACCGTTCCATTGAAATCTGTTTTCAACATATTTTCTCTCAAGTCAGTTCAAGACATTGAAAAATATTTTACTCAGACGCTTAAGTCGAAGTTTAGTGACGTTTTTTCGAGAGGATCTTGGGTGTTGCACGAAAATTCAAGCCACGCTCAAGTTGAAAGCAGATAGCAAGCCAATATTTAGGGCCAAACGCCCTGTCTCTTATGCAGCTCTGAACATAGTCGAAAAGGAACTGAATCGCCTCCAAGAAGCGGGAGTAATCGAGCCAACAAACTACTCCACATGGGCGGCTCCTATTGTTGTGGTTAGGAAAACAAATGGTAAAGTCCGCATTTGTGATGATTACTCAACAGGATTAAATAATGCGCTAGATACACAACAATATCCAATACCTGAAGAACTTTTTGCCAAGTTAAATGGTGGAATCTGTTTTGCAAAAATTGATTTTTCAGATGCATTTCTGCAAATGGAAGTTGATGAGGACTCCAATGAGCTTCTTACAATCAACACTCACAAAGGGTTATTTAGATACAACCGTCTTCCATTTGGAGTCAAAACAGCACCAGCTATATTCCAGCAGACTATGGATGCCATGCTCACAGATATAACCGGAGCGTCAGCATTTATCGACGACATCATCAATATGGTTTTCGTGTACGGGCGGAAAAATGTCAATTTTACCGGACGTCGATAAAATATCGTGGATTTATTTTTGACAAAACAGGCCGACGACCGGACCCTAAGAACATTTCAGCCATCAAAAACATACCAGCTCCAACAAACATCAAAACTCTACGTTCTTTTCTGGATTTAGTAAGCCATTACAGTTCATTTACATCGGATCCGGTCTCCTCTGAACCACCTTCTAAAACAAAGAGATTACATGGAACTGGTCACCAGAATTCAAAGCTGCTTTTGCCAAAATTAAAGCTTCATTTCTTCAGATCTACTTCTAACACATTTTAACCCATCTTTGGACATTGTTGTAGTTTCCGATGCTTCTGACTATGGCGTTGGAGCCGTGATCTCTCACATCTTTCCTGATGCCAGTGAGAAAGCTATAGCTCATGCATCTAGGTCATTGACACCTGCAGAAAGGAACTATGGCCAAATCGAGAAAGAAGCTTTGGCAATAATATATGCCATAAAGAAATTTCACAAGATTTATGGACGTCATTTCACTTTGGTCATAGACCACAAACCTCTGATAAGCATTTTTGGGTCCAAGAAAGGTATTCCAGTGTATACCGCTAATCGGTTACAACGATGGGCTACCACACTTTTGGATTACAATTTCTCGATCAAGTACCTTTCAACCAATTCAAGTGGACATGCAGATGCCCTATCGAGACTCATTAATATGCACCAAAAACAACCCGAAGATTCAGTTGTTGCAGGAATATCCTTGGGGCCAGAAATCTCTTCAATGCTCACAGCTACAGTAAGGGAACTGCCACATGATTAAGGAAGCCACAGCTTCTGACCCTCTACTACAGGAAGTCATCCGCTATCACCATACCAAGTGGCCAACAGTATCCCCGAATAAACAGTTACTACCATTCTTCAAACGGAAAATCTTCCTTATCTGAGGTTGACGGGGTACTTCTTTTTGCCGAACGGGTTATCGTTCCTTCATCCTTGCAAAACAGGATTATCAAACAATTTCATTTTGGACACCAAGGCGTCAGTCGTATAAAGGCTGGTTACGTCTACTGGCCAAATATGGATAAGCAGCGAGAAGACCTTGCATGCACTTGCACCAAATGCCAGCTAGCAGCTAAATCTCCTCAGAAATCTATGCTTTCTTCATGGCCTGTTCCAGATTCTCCCTGGTCATGCCTCCACATAGATTTTGCAGGATCCACCAATGGACAATCCTTTCTCATTGTTGTAGTGGCTACAGCAAATGGCCTGAGATTTTTCCAATGTCCCGGATCACTTCTGAAGAAACAATTTCCAAACTTCAGAAAATTTTTAGTAGATTCGGCATTCCTGAGACCTTGGTCTCTGACAACGGCACCGCGTTTGCTTCAGTCAAATTTTCCACCTTCTGCCAGCAAAATGGTATCAGCCACATTCGTACACCGCCATTTCATCCACAGGCAAATGGTCAGGTTGAACGCCTTGCGGATACCTTCAAGAGAGCCCTCTTAAAACTCAGAGAAGAGGAGACAACGTCAGAAATACTGGAAACATTTTTGACAAACTATAGGGCAACACCAAACCCTTACACGCCAAATGGTAGCTCACCTGCCGAATCCTTGATGAATCTAAAAATCCGATTACACATTGACGTCTTACGTCCAAAATCACATCACTCCATCAGGAGAAACACAAAAATGGAACGGCAGTACAATCGCCATCATGGTTCTATTCAAAGAAAATTCCTTCCCGGTCAACAAGTCTTGGCAAGAGACTACCGGAACAACACAGAAACATGGAACCAAGTACATATTGTACGCCAAACTGGCAATGTCACTTACAATGTAAATGTCCAGAATTCCATTTGGGTTTGACATTCCAACCAACTGAGACCATCACATCTTCCAGCAGGAATACAACAATACCCTACCATTCCCAGAACATCGAAGCTGAAACACAGGATTTAAACATCCAGTTCGCACCCGCCGTCCGGCACAGCACTTGCAGGTTGATCCTCACCTGAAGTCGTACAAGCGACAATTTTAGAGGGGAGATGTTAGGACGAATAAAAATATCAGGTCATCCCATAAGTTCTGTCCGAATTTTGAATAAAGAAAACAAGTGACCAAATGTTACATTTAATTACAGATTCACTCAACAATGTATTTTCCCTGATGATCTATGAATTCCTTCCATCTATTAACAAGCTTACTAATTCCATTACTGTAAAATTATTTTGGTTTTGATTCGAAGAACTTGTAGTGGTGTTGTAAAAAATGTTGGCTAGAGTCACCGTGAATATAATCAAGAAGGAAAGCTGTGTTCTTGTAAAACAACACCCCACATGAAATATGCACAACATACACGAGAGAAATAAATCAAGCTCAGTGAACATTAATAAAATATTGTATTAATGACATACAAATAACAACAATAAGTATAAAGAAAGTCGCTTTCCTTTTTCCGTAATGTAGCTAATTAATGTTGAGTACAATAATGAATGTTATTTAACTATAAAGTTCAATTAAGGTCTTAGCTAAATGAAGAATAATTCCACAGTCTGTTTGTGAGTGTGGAGAGATATAATGTACACAAGTGATATCAATAGAAATTAGTAAGGTTACTCGAATGAGTAATAACTAAAAATTAAAATGTCATAAGAAATATAGCGCCGTGCCGTATTTTCCAAGAATTGAACTGCAACTGCTGTTGGCTAACAGCGAGAGAGTTTATATAGTTATGCATAGGCTCCAGCGAGCTTGGCGCCAAAAATATAGAAAGATACTAAAATACGCGATTGGTCAGGAAATGGACCAATCCGTGATTTTAGAGAAAAATTAAAATAATGTGCGATGGCAAAATTGTCATATAATAAGTATCATATCTTTATGAACCAATGACATTAAAGAAAGCGGAGTTGTGGCACACGTAAGTGATCACTACAATACCCCCTCAAGATTGAAAAGTCAGAAAAGAAAGAGTTTTCAATATGTAATGAAAGTTCTGAACTTCTTAGGCCAGTGGACGGTACGTCCGCTAGCAGTCCTAGTAGGTGCTGGTGACGAAAGCTGAGGGCTGTCTAGCGAAGGGCTCGTAGATTGATTGGTTGATCCATCGCGTTCAATACATGCAGGTTTTAGGCGATCGATAGAGAAAGTCGATCGGCCGTGGTTAGTCTATAGAGTATAATATTTATCGGTCCGGGCAAGGACACGAAATGGACCCGCATAATGTGGTGTGAGTGGCTTTCTAACAGAATCCTGTCGTACAAAAACGTACTCGCATTCCAGTAAGGAAGGAGGCACATAAACGTCACGTGAAGTGTAACGGGTTGGAGTAAAAGCAAGAGAAGACATTTTTTTTTCGAAAATAGGTGATAAAAACTGGATAAAGGTTCTTGTGTAGATGTTACAGAGAAATATTGTCCTGGTAGTATCAGCTGCTGTCCGAAAACTAGATCAGCAGGCGAGCATTTCAGATCTTCTTTAACTTGTGTGCGAAGTTAAAGTAAGACAAAAGGTAAGTTGTCTATCCAAGAGGATTGGTTAGTAGTGCCGATACTGGTCAAAGCAGCCTTAAGTTGGCGGTGGAACCGCTCAACTAGGTCATTGGAACATGCGTGGTAAGCAGTTGTTGATATATGACGAGCTCCAAGTAAGTTAGTAAATTCCGTGAATAGCTGAGATTGGAACTGGAAATCCAATGTTGAAATTTGGCTCGAGCCATGGATTCAGCGGTAGTGCTGTTGAGTGGAAAGGCAACCGGCCATCTCGTAAATCTATTTATAATTGTCAAAAAAAATGTATTGACATCCCCGAATCTCTGATAAGGGACCCACTAGGTCCGCATGTAGATGTCGGAAACGAATATCAGGGGCAGCAAAACGACCAGCTGGTGACTTAGTGTGTCTCTGGATCTTGTTTTGTTGACAAACAACACAAGATTGAGTATAGCGATTATAATGTCTATACGCATCTTAGGCCAGACGAAACGGTCTGCAATTAACCTAAGTGTAGCTTTACGACCAGGGTGGGACAACGAATGAAAGTGGTCGAATATTCGTCGCCGCATGTTGGTTGGGACGACGGGTCGAGGATGACGTAGACTGGTGTCGCATGCGATAAGCTTATCAGGAAAGGGCAAGGGATGATGCTCAATATGTAGTGACGAATTTCGAAATGAGTCGAGCAAAGTTATCTCCCGTACTTGTTCATCCGCGATATTTTCCATGTCAAAGTATCTTGCAGGCTTCCGCACAAGGATGCTCTGGAAAGTGTATCGGCAGAAATGTTATCCTTTCCTTTAATGTGACGTATATCTGATGTAAACTGGGATATATAATCAAGATACCTGTAGTCCCGAGGATTGTACTTGTCTGATTTAGTTGAAACGGCAAAACTAAGTGAGGGGCTTGTTATCTGTGTAGATCACAAAGTGTCTACCCTCTAAAAGGTGTTTGAAATACTTAATTGACAAGTATATAGCTAAAAGTTCCCTTGAAAAGGTACTATACTTCTTCTGTGTGGACGTCAACTTAACGGAGAAGAAGGAAATTGGCAAAGATTTAGCGTCAACATGTTGGTGTAAAATTGCGCCTATGGCGTCAGAAGATACGTCAGTCGTTAATGATAGCTGAGTGGTAACACCGTCAGTGAGGCATGAAAGTTTCGTAAAGTTGACCAATGCTTTACGAGAGTTGTCAAATGCTTGCGTTGTGTCGTTGTTCCAACAAATAGGAATATTTTTACGGTCTTGCCCGCGAAGGATATTCGTCAGAGGTGCAAGAATTTGTGAACAACGTGGGATGAATTGACGATAATAATTAATTTAGCCAATGTATCTGCGAAGCTGTCGAAGCGTGGAGGGCTTCGGAAATTCCTGGATAGCACGTATCCTTTCAGGCAGGGGAGTAATACCTGTAGCATCAATGACGAAACCGAGAAAGTGGAGTTGTGAAACGGCAAACTCACACTTCTCTGGGTTGATTTTTAAACCAAAGTTCTGAAGACGATCAAAGACTTGCTGAATATGTTTACGATGCTCAGGTAAATTAGGGCTAGCTATTAGTAGATCATCAATATATGCGAAAGTGAAAGATAGTACCACGAAGTACCTCATCTATAAGGCGTTGGAATGATTGAGCTGCGTTGCGCAGTTCAAAAGGCATACGCAGAAACTCGAATAAACCAAACGGCGTGGTAATCGCAGTTTTGGGAATATCTTCGTCAGCGACTGGGATCTGGTGAAAGGCTTTGCGCTGATCCAGTTTGGTGAAGACAGATGCTCCCTGTAAGGTAACAACAAAGTCGGTCAAATTGGGAACTGGGTACTTATCGGGTACCGTTTGTGAATTAAGTCGTCTGTAGTCGCCACACGGCCTCCAGGCGCCCTGCTGAGCCTTAGTGACCATGTGAAGCGGTGAGGCATATGGACTCGAGGAGGGGCGAATAATCCCTAGGTCGAGCATGTGTTGGAACTCGGCCTGGGCAATCTTGTATTTGTCCGGCGCAAGACGGCGAGATTTAGAATAGACAGGCTGTTCGGTAGTTCGAATCCTGTGTACAGTGCTGTGCTTGACAGGCTCTGTATAAGTAAAAGGCTGTATCAACGAGGGAAATTTATCCAGAATATCTTGAATTGAAGTATCACGCGGCACAGCGATGCGTAATTCCGTAGATGTTAACTGTGATACAATTCCGCGGTTAGATAGCTTCGTGGTGGGGTCAGATAACTGACGCTGTGAGAGGTCCACGATGAGTTGATAATGTGCCAAAAAGTCGGCGCCTAAAAATGGGGAATTTCACGTCTGCAACGGTGAATATCCATTGGTATGTCCTTCTAAGTCCAATATCTAGTGTTAACGATTGTTCGCCAAAGGTCTTGATGTTCGTGCCGTTAGCGGCGCGTAAGGTGACTGAAGAGTTAGTCTTAGTGAAGTTGGGTGATGGTGGAACAACACTAAGCTGTGCTCCCGTATCTATCAGGAATGACATGTTAGAGTTCCTGTCTTTTATATAGAAGAGACGGTTAGTATGTGTCCCAACAGCAAATGCCTCTTTCAAGCGCTGCTGGGATCGGCATTTTCCGCCTTCCGTGATGCCTTAGGTGAAGGCTGGAACTTGAAGATACAAGGCTTAACGCATCTGTGGGCTCTATCACCATAGTTAAGATGGTACCAGCATAGCATGGGTCGGCGAGCGCGAGTAGCAGACTGAGAGCGTCGCCGTAGCTTGTATGAGTTTTTATCCTCTGCTCTGGTAAGGTGCTGTACTTGAGTGGAAAGCCTCTCGAGTTGCTGTTTCAGCTGTTCTATTACATCCATCATATCAGCATCGGTGAGTACAGGGGAGTCCACGCTGTTAATGGTGGATACGTCGTTAATTTTGTCAGCGATCTCAGCAGTCCTCGAGAGATCCAAGTCATCGGGTAGCGTAGCCAGAATCTGTGATGTGTATGGCGGTAGCTTATCCAGTCAAAGCTTGCGGAATAGTGATTCCGACATAAAGTTCTTCCCTAATAGATTCTTCATATGTCTAAGCAACTGCGACGGGCGGCCATCTCCGAGCTGTATAGTATTAAATAGATCGTGCAACCTGCGCTCATGCGATTTCCCAGTACGGTAGATGATGGCTTCCTTTAGTATATCAAAGGGGTTATGAGCGGGAACGGCTTCCAAAAGGTCCAGCATGTCAGCAGCGATCTCTGGTGGCAGCTTCTCGACTATGTACGCGTAACGCGCAGTCTGAGAGTGAATGTGCTTTGCTTGGAATGTGGCTTCGGTCTGGGCGAACCGCACGTTTATATTCATGTCAAAAGTTGGGAGGGTCAGCACGACGTCTGTCTCTTGTGCAGACTGTTCAGCCATTACGAATAAACACGTGGTATACTGCTGTTTCGTCGCGAAGTAGTATCTCTCAATAAATTGGATCGGTGAGTCGTCCAAATGTGGTTGGTATAAGGTTCCGAGACGTCGTAGTTACCAATGCTGTGCAGAAATTAGTTCCTACGTCGGGGTTACCAATTGTAGTGGTGTTGTAAGAAATGTTGGCTAGGGTCACCGTGAAATATAATCAAGAAGGAAAGCTGTGTTCTTGTAAACAACACCCCACATGAAATATGCACAAAATACACGAGAGAAATAAATCAAGCTCAGTGAACATTAATAAAATATTGTATTAATGACATACAAATAACAACAATAAGTATAAAGAAAGTTGCTTCCCTTTTTCCGTAATAAAAAGGGTAAGTGTAGCTAATTATTGTTGAGTACAATATTGAATGTTAAACTATGAAGTTCAATTAAGGTCTTAGCTAAATGAAGAATAATTCCACAGTCTGTTTGTGAGTGTGGAGAGATATAATGTACACAAGTGATATCAATAGAAATTAGTAAGGTTACTCGAATGAATAATAACTAAAAATTAAAATGTCATAAGAAATATAGCGCCGTGCCGTATTTTCCAAGAATTGAACTGCAATTGCTGTTGGCTAGCAGCGAGAGAGTTTATATAGTTATGCATAGGCTCAAGTGAGCTTGGCACCAAAAATATAGAAAGATACTAAAGTCCATTTCCTGACCAATCGCGTAAGCTTGGTTCAAAGTCAAACGCTCTAATTGCTGACAGTATATTTGAGCATTAATTGTTGCATTAGGTGATAAGAATTCAAAGTGGATTATTCCTTGGCGATCCCACCAAATTGAAAGACGAACCTTTTGCCCATGAAGTTCCCTTCTCGACTGTGGCTGGGGTCCTTCCCCTTTACCAAGCCACTGTCTACGACGCTTAACATTTCGATAAAAGATCCATTTTTCGTCGCCAGTCACAAGTCTATCCAAAAAGGTGAAACAAGTTGGCGAGAATGGAGAGAAGAGCAGATATCAAATCGGGATTTGAGGTTGTTTTCAGACAATTCATGAGGCATCCATTTTCCAAGTTTAGGAACTTTTCCAAGTTGTTGAAGATGACGATGAACAGTTGTATGGTTTGAACTGAGAACCACTGCCAATTCCTCAACTGATAAACCAGGATTTTCTTCAAGGGCTGCTTCAAGAAGCTTTTCATCAAACTCAACTGGACATCCGGTTCGATCTTCATCTTCAAGGGTGAAATCTCCACCTCTGAATTTTGCAAACCATCTTCTGCAAGTTCTTTCATTCACACATTCCTCTCCATGAACTGAGTGAATGTTTCTAGCCGCTTCAGCTGCTGAGTTTCCTTTCTTAAACTCATAAAGCATTATGTGCCTCAAATGATTCTTTGGTACTTCCATGTTAGCAGGGTTTTAATCAAACAAAATATAATTTTATTGTTCTCTGAAATAAAATTTGATCAGTTTAAATGCATCTAAACAAAAATAATGTTCAGCTCCATTAGACATTATTAAATACTCTTTAAATTTCGTTCATTTTAACAAAAAATTAAAATTCAGACAGAACTTATGGGATGACCTGATATATTCCAAGGGAAATAACTCTTTCCTGTTTCAAACAGAGTACCTCCCTTTTGCCCCTGTCCAAACCACGCTAGTCACGTGATCAGCGCGACAGTCAGATGCGAGACGAGCAAAATTCAACAGACTTGGAACATGGCTATCAAGGAATAAGGACACATATATATTCTCCTCTCCTAATGATTGTGACACACAACTCAGTAACTTGGGACTGTGATTTTGTATATACATATATATATGTTGTGAGGTACTCCGTGTAAATAAATGTTTATTTCAAGCCAACCGTGAGTAGCAATAATTTCCTTCCTATCGCATCACACGTTTCTCCATGTGCCACACACACACACACACACATATTCATCCACGGACCGTGAATTAAAACTGCATACAAGGCATTTCATTTAATAGTTATGAGACAACAAACACGCCGTTCATAACAGCGCCCAATTCACTGGAGCCTATTTTGGATTCCAAAAACAAATAAAAAGAGTCAGTCGAACAGTCGCTCAGAAAGTACTTTCTGAGCGACTGTTCGGTTGTACTCTCTTCCTACGGACGGGAGGAACCCGAAAGAGGCTACGCCAAAGGGCGGAGTCTCTTTCGGGGAGGTAAAACCGGCCCTGAACCCGTTTATACGGGTTCAATGGGCATATTTTTGGCCGAGCCCACGGGCTCTGTATGCCCTCGTTAAAAAGGCCTTGTGCCACATGGCACCCTCGTGGGGTGGGTGACTAAATATCGTCAGTCACTAAACTTCAGAGAGATGTCACACGAATCCACGCGTGTCACTATTTTGACTTAAGATACTTTTTCGCGTGTCAACTGCTGACTCAAACATCAACATAATCTCTCACATTTCACTTACAACTTTCTAAGAAAATTGTTCTTCTTACACACTACTAAAATAGAAATTGTATTTTAACAAAAGACAAACACAGAACAATCCAAGGTAAACAACTCTGGAAAATTTAGACAATTATACTCTACTTTATTCACGCATACAAACTACACAAATTTCTGTATAAATAATATTTTCCATTTTACTCTGTTTGACCAGTTCTTTAACACTTGAACAATTTTGAACTGTAAATCAATCAGACACCCAATTTATATATGGTCAATTTCTTGCATTATCAAACCACAAGTTCTCTAATTAATTGTACATAAATGCATGTTGTTTTTATTGAATCTTAATTACCGGTGTTTCTTACTCAATCAATTGCCTTGTGATTGATTCGTTTTTGAATGCCTATTCTATATTGTTATGGATTAATATGGTGAACATGCCCGTAAACTAACCATCTTAATATAAAAACCTTCTGATAACAAATTTAAACTCATAGCAATCCCAACAGCATCATATCACCAGGTTTATATTTGTAATGTTGGAGGAAAATATTAATTTTTAATTCAATAATTTTTTTGAAGAAAAATTTTAACAAAATATTATTTATGCTATATGTCCTTATCAAGATAAAAGAAATAAAAATTGCTGAAACAGAAGTAAACTTATTTATTCTATTTTAAATACAAGTTTTAGTTTTCTTATCTTTGTATTTCAAAAACATCAAATTATTGAGATGATTTTTGTGCTATCTGATTTAGAGAAATAGAATTAGACTTAGAGTAGAAAAATAAAACATGTTCAGATCAAATAAATAATTATCCAGCTTAATTTTAGATTACATTCTGTAACTCTCAAAATGATGTAACATGTAACATAGCGTTTAATGTGCACATGGCCAAGTGGTTAGAATGTTAACATTTCAACCATGGCTTCAAATCTCATTATGGTCAATTTATCACAGAGGGGACTTATTGATAATATTAACCTGGAAAGTTGATTCCAGCATGCAGCGCTATTGGAAAGTACCCAAAAACCATAATACCTCTTATTTCCTTATAGATCAAGTTTTCAGCTACAAAACACTATTTTTCTATATAATCACCACCATTTGATGAGTTGACAGTTGTACAGAGCCACTGCTGAAACATATTACTCACCTTCACTTGTGTTTACATTCACTATTTAGTCTTTATTAATATCAAATAATGCATTTAATTTTTCTGTATGGAGGAATTCAGTGATGTATCACTGCTTCATACGCACTTTCATGTTAGATACCATTTTGCTATAATGCTATCTGTAAAATATTATGGGTTATTGGTGATATGTTTTAAAGAAAAACTGACACATATATTTTCATAGTTTTTTTGCCTACTGTCCTCAAATTTTATATCTTATGGCATTTTTTTACTAGTTCCTAAGAGTAGAGTACAGGTTAAACATTTATATGTCAGTCAGTTTTACAAGATGTGAGAATTTAATTACTGGTATGGCCAAAGTTTGCTTACATGATTGGATGCTGTGACCTTCAAAGTAATTCCCTTGTGAAGCTAGGTACTTTGTGAGATGATGATGCCATTACAAGAAACATTCTTGGGTCATATTTTCCAGAATATCTTTCAATAATGTAGTCACATGTTAATGGCTATCAGGGATGTTAGCAAATCTTTGTCCTTTCAGAGTATTTCTTCAATTTTTTCTTGTGCTATGAATTTGTAATTAACTATCTTATGAAAGAAATACACAAGTATGGTCACAAATGAGACATGCGTGTTTTTTCATCTGAGGTAAATTCTTTCTTTGCACCTGCATACATTTAGTTTCCATGTCTTATTGAAAACACCAAATCTTATCACTGGTAATAGCCCTGTCAAACATCTCTGCATTATTCAAAAGAATATGAAGCCAAAGTTGTTTCAGATAATAAGTAAAGATTTGAAATTTTAATTTTTCTCATTCCTAAATTCTCTGTTAAAATTTGCCACACAATCTATTCATATTAAGTTCTTTTGTTATCAGTTCACAATCTTGATTTTGAGTGTACACTGTCCACATTTATATAAGTTCTTTTTGTTATTTTTGTTGCTCACTTCTTGCATCCTTGTGCACATCTCCTTACCTTTCTTTTCATCACTCAAAATCATTCAATTTATTTATGTTTACCACAAGTTATTTTCAATAGAACTGCCATCTCACTAATCCTTTTATCAATCTTTACATGATACTTTATATTAATCTCCAGATTCCTTTCACTTATTATTTACTGCCAACAATATAACATGAACCTGTACAACTTCCTCTACTGCTTAGTAACAATTAACTCATCTAGTACACATCTGAAGAAAGTGAAAGTTGAAACATACTCAGGTACAAATGTTTACCTGATTCATTACTCCAGCAACATACTGTGGTTTTTCTGGGAATTGTCACACAACTTAAGTCAGTTTTATTTCACAGAAAATAACGTTTACTCTATGGACTGGTCATAAAATACCTACACTGAATTAAACAGAACAGGACAAAATACAAAGTGATACCTATTATACATATATTTAAATACAAGACAT